GGGTTTAGGGTTTAGGCAAACACATAAGGCCAGGAAGTTCAAAGTTCTCCCATTGGCTAAGGAAGTAACCCTAAACCCTAAATACCCTAAGCCCTAAGCCCCCAAATACCCTACTGAACCCTGAATACCCCCAAACCCTCAACACTAAATACCCCAAATACCCTAACCCTAAATACCCTAAATAGCCTTAAAACCCTAAAAACCCAAAAACTCTAAAAACCCTAAACCCCTAAACCCTAAACCCTAAACCCTAAACCAATGCTCCTACTGTTACCAGGGTTCCCGGATCTGAGGTCAGCGCTGTTGTCAGAGAGGATACCTGAAAAAGCCGATGGTGTTCCAGGGTTTAGAGTACTTATTTGGGGTCTAGGGCCGGTTCGGGTTCAGGGTTTAGGGTTTAGGGTTTAGGGTTTAGGGTTCAGGGTTCAGGGTTCAGGGTAATGATGTAAGGGTTTAGAGTACTTATTTAATGTAGGGGCCTTAATAGTTCGAATAAGGTCTTGGGGAATACTATACTATAAGTATAATAAGTAACCCCCAAAATAGTATAGGTAATCACTTAGGCCCCTGGTCTAGGGCCGGTTCGGGTTCAGGGTAATGATGTAAGGGTTTGGGGCCGTTGAGGAATGAGCAATCGAGGGCTTAGGGCTCTATCTGTTGGGGTTCCCGCGTTTTCCGGTAGTTACAACGTTGACCTGGACCTGCCACCTATGGATTCTGATCAAAACCCCTGATATATATATATATATATATATCATTGCGGCCCTACAAAAAGGGGATCCCGGTAGCTCAAAAGAGGATTCTCGGCTTTATGCACCCGAAGCCCTAAACAGCCGGCTTAGGCTTCTAGGGTTCAAGGTTTACACGCGGAGAGGCGTCAGGAACCTAAACCCTAAACCCTAAACCCTAAGGTGCACAGTGGTATCCTTCTTCTATGATGCCCTCATGGCCTGGAAGGTCAGGAACCCAAAGCCCTTAAACCCTAAACCCTTAAACCCAAAACCCCGGAACCACCCTAAACCTTAGAGTTTAGGGTTTAGGGTTCCCTAAACCCTAAACCCCCCTTAAACTCTAAATCCACCTGGATCTCTAGTAGCTCCGTCGCGGCGACCACGCACAGCACTCCCAGGACGAGGGTCCGCCCGTCGACATTAGGGTTTACGTATAGTCTCCATTGTGGTTCCTTTTGTTGCTTTAACCAATTTTGTATTGAGGATTTTCTGTTTTGGCCTTTAGTTTAAACCCTCTGAAAAATATTTATATAAAGGGTCCCTTATAGTCTCCATTGCAGTTCCTTTTTTCTTAGGGGCTGAGTACCCTAGCCCAAAAAAGGTTAACCTTTTGAATTATAGTAGGTATAAGAGCCACAAAAGGTTAAAGGTTACCTACTCAGGCACTAAGTTTTTGCTTCAACCAATTTGTATTAAGGATTTTAAAAGGCATCCCCCAAAACCCTAAGGCTCCATGTACCCATATAGTAGATACTTAGGCCTTAAAGTGCCTATATAGGGACCCCTTTAAGGTCTAAGTATCTACTATAAGGGTACATGGAGCCTTTGGGAAAGGAACTACAATGGAGTCTGCAGGAAGGGTCGCATCCGGAATTTTATGGAGCGGCCCTAGGGTTTGGGGTTTGAGGGATTTAGGGGTTTAGGGGTTTAGGGGTTTAGGGATTTAGGGGTTCAGGGTTTAGGGTTTAGGGTTTACGGGTTTCGGGCTTTAGGGGTTCAGGGTTTAGGGTTTAGGGGTTTAGGGTTTAGGGTTTGGGGGTTTCGGGATTTAGGGGTTCAGGGTTTAGGGTTTAGGGGTTTAGGGTTTAGGGTTTAAGGGTTTAGGGGTTTAGGGGGTTTACGGGTTTAGGGGTTT